ATAGAAACTACACCTGAACCATAGAAACTACACCTGGACCATGGAAAGTACACCTGAACCATAAAAATTACACCTGGCCCATGGAAAATACACCTGGACCACAGGAACTACACTTGGACCATACAAACTAATCCTGGACCATATAAATTACACGTGGCACATAGAAACTATACATGGACTACGGAAACTAAACCTGAACCATATAAACTACACCTGGGTTATGTACAATACAATATTTGTGCTGATGTTCAACGTAATTTTTTTTAATGCTATTAGTGCTTAGTGTATATTTAGTTGATGTTTTTCTTAGTTCATATCTTGGATGTTATCATTGTTTTTCTTTTACATTTTATTGTTGGATGTAACTGGAACCCTGTGTACATAATTTTGCTCCACCACATGTACCATATGAGGTGTGAATGACAATAAAGAAACTCTGACTCTGACTGACAATACACCTGGACCATTCAAACCATTCAAACTGGACCACATAACCTACAGTTGGACCATGCAAACTTCAGCTGGACTATATAAATTACACCTGGACTATACAAACTACACCTGGACCACATAAACTACAGCTGGACTATATAAATTACACATGGACCATATAAACTACACCTAGACTATGGAAACCACACCTGGACTATGGAAACTACACAGGAACTATAGAAACTACACATGGACCACAAAAATACACCTGGAACATATGAACTACACCTGGACTATAGAAACTACACCTGGACCATGGAACCTATTCCTGGACTATAGAAACTACACCTGGACCAGCCATTCAGTGTTTGTCTGAGTCTCTTTCCTTTCATCTTTAATTTTATTTATTTAATCTTAATTTCGAGATAAAATGGCACAATTTGACAAGTTTTAACTATAATGTTTCACTAAAGACCACTGGCTTGCTGTTCAGTTGAATAAATTCATGTTTTTGTATGTGTGGACACAACCAGTGAAGGCTGAAAAAAAAAATTCAAACATTTTCAGAGTATTTAATCTATTTAAAATTGTCTTTGCTCTGCTGTAACACTTTGAAAAGAGGTGTCCTAAACTTTACCTTGGGAGAATTCCTTGACCTTTGAATTAAAAAAAAAAAACACCTCCAGAAAAGAGAACAGAAGAAGTGAGGCTGCCTCCAGGCTAATTGTCTCATTTCACTCAAACTTCCAAGTCATGTCCCCTCCACCTCTTCACAAGCTCTCAGGTCGTGGATTTAAAGTTTCAAGAACCCTGACGTTAACAAGGCACCAGGCAGAGCAGCCGAATGTAAAGGAGGACACAGTGTGTGCCTCCCCAAAGCTAAGGAGTACAGCACTGCCCTACTTTCACTATGGAAGGGGACAAAAAGACAGTGGATGGCATCATCTTAATCCTTTCAGCCTCGATAGGAATAAAAACCAGGAGGTGACAGATGTAAATGAGAGGGACAGAAAACCCTGTAGAAATTGTTATGGCTCTGAATTTAATTAGATTGACTGTCAGCGCAGAGATGTGCAGCCTTTATGCTTCCTTCCCCGTCTGTCTCGGAGGAGGAGAAGTTTATGGTTTGTTGCCCTGTCACCACTCTAACCCACTCAATTAGTGTCACCTCCACCTTTATATCCTGTTTTTCTTCTGTCTACCCTCACTATAATATCTGATCCTGTACAGCCCCACTATTTACCCAGCTTGTTTATGATCCTTCTGACCTCCTATTTTTACATAAACACCATCCTTCTTCAGTGCATGTTTTTTGTTTACATTTCCAGTGACATAATTTTCTTGCTAATTCAGCAGCAGGAATAACTTTTCCACATCTGTCAGTGACAAGAGTGACAAGAGGCCAGTCCCTCCAGCCCAACAATCTCACTGCTCATTGCTATTAAAATCCCTCCGCAAACTTCAGTTAAACTCTGACATGTCAGGGATTAAGGCTAATTTGTGTTTTTGTTAATTTATATAGAGAAAAAAGGGAACTGCTTTCCCAGGGTAAAAATTTCTAATGAAAAATTGAAACCTTCAGCATTAAAATTTAGGCAAATATGAAATTTTATTTAATACATACAGGTAATTTTCCCTAAACAAACAGACTGCAGTGTGACGTCATCTTGATTTTACACTGGTGGGCTAAAAAACCCAGTCTTACATTGATATAAAGCGTGAAATTAAATGGACGCCATTCAAGTGGTTAGAGCTTAAAATCGTGTACAATGCCAGGTGTAGATGAAAGATGAAGAAACAGATGCTTTTCTGCACATATTTGCTTCCTGGAATCTGAGGGCCCCACATTGGGTGCCAAATGAAGAGGCAATATTGTCCATAATTTATCATAAAGTTATGTTGAGAGGAAAAACTTCTGTCACAAATTGATCTAAAACTGAATGCTTAGTTCACATGGCTATGTGTCGACTTTGAAACAAAGACAATGAAATTTGAATATCTCGTTAAGCCATTTGAATTGAGTAAGAGTCAATCAAACTTGAAGGCTGAGGAAAAAAAAATTGGACTGTCTAGTTTCCCTGAGTTCTCCCTGCACTCCAAGATGATTGATCGTCTCTGTGTTTGTCAGTGTGAGAAACTTTTCTGTATGATGAAAAAAACCCCAGCTAAAAGTGAATTCATGAAATTATTAAGATTTTTCAATTAAAATGTTTGTGTATTCTCTGTAATTTTTATGGGAAAATGTTTGTAACTTTTTGTTTAATTGATATGTTAAAGCTAGATGATCTGTCATCAAACATTTTAATCAGAAACCATTTAAAAACTGGTGACTAAAAAGGAAGACACAATAAATAAACAAAACTCTTTGGTTTTAAAGATTTCATGCAAACTCTATAATGTTCTGAGTAATAAAACAATGTGTTAAAAATGTTATTTCATATTTAGATATGAACATTTACAATGGAAATTAAAAAAAAAAACGTCAAATTATTTTTTTTATAGAAGATATTGCAAAACAAAAAATGTTGACAATTGATCAGGTTTTTGATTTTGACCTGAGTTCAAAGGCCACACAGCTTTAATAGATCATATATCGCTGAAGTGACATTCTAAGGTCTAAAGATGCTCAGGGAAAGTCAGACAGGGGAGGAAAGTTTGTGGCACAAACTTTAATCCTAAAAATATTGTTAAAATATTGTCTTTTTACATCTCTACTAACCATTTTTTAAATTTCATTAGGAGTATCCTGAAATTTGGAGCGACTGGCAGAGATGGAGGTGAAGAGCTGACTGACAAGAAACAGATGAACGAGCGGAGGGGATGTTAATAAAAAACAAAACATAAAACGAGACACGCTCCCAGCTGTACAGAGTAGCAACCATGAAAGAAGGATGAACAGAGGAGAGAAGTGACACTCACCTCCTTGCTTGCTCCTGTCAAGATAGATGGAAACCCTTCTGGCCAGACCTGCGAGCAGGAAGTGGGGGAGGGAAGGGGAAGAAGAGCAGGAGCGTAACAAAGCAAGCCACAAAATTAGCAAGAACCCACCGACCATGCTGACCCAAAGAGTCACACACCTAAAAAGAACACACTGCAACACTTGTGACAAGATGAGTTATTCATCATTTCACAAGTGATAACCAATATGCGTTTAGCCGGAGGGACGAACAAGGCTGCAGCTTCCAAAATAACAAACAGAGGGAAGTAAATCTGCAAAGAGTCCCAAAACTCTAAACCTGCAAGGCCTCTAGTTCTGGATTCCTTTCAACATGGTAAAAGTAATAATAATTGTAATAATGCAGCAGGATAGAGCTGCTGTGGAACTTGAGAGGCTTGTCTCTGTCCTCAAATTGAAATTAAAGCCACGAGGTTGAGTGTGAGAAGGACACTGAACATAATAAAGCTGTGTAATTAATAATCAAATTAAATGTGGAATAATGAGTGATACTTGTTGCTGCTGCCTTGTTCAGAAGGGGTGGGGGTTGGGGGGGGAGCACAAAACAATATCAAAGACTCAGCAAGGTAACAACAAGCCAGGCAGTCTAGAGATGTTCCACAGATGGAGAAACAGCACAGAGGCATGTCATTGGACGATGGAGATGGGGTGAGTGAGGACAGGTCCAGCAGGTACTTGTGTGTTTTTATCTGCCAACGTCTTCTGCAGAAACGTTCGGCAGGATCTTGGCAGCGCAGAGACAGACTTGTACAATATTTTATTGAGTTATACATTTTTAATGCATCCAAGGAAATGTAAAAAAAAATCCAAAAAAATCCAAGCTCAGAGTTATTACAGCCTGTTTGAAATGCACTGAGAGGAATGGTAATAACTCACAGCTGAATGCTGGGCTGGGAGTGTAAACACTAGAGGGAAAACTACCGTGGTCTGTTTGTGAGACTGCAGAGGGGGGAAAAAACTGAAGCTCAACTCAAACTTTTTCAGGAAGCTGATGCCTTCAGGAATCGGAGTCCAACTTGTTCAGGGAATGACAAACTCCACACGGCCAGGATAACAAGCACACCATTAAAAGTGAAGGTCTGGGTGGAAACACTAGCTGTGGGAGAGGAAGAGCCTCTCAGGGTCATTTGTGGTACCAAACCAAAAAAAGGGAGGGATGTTAGCTAAACACGTCGCCTCACTGCAGATCCCCTGTAGTTCTGCTGGCTCTACTGGGAACTTTGTTGGTACCAGTATGTGAAGCGGCCATAGGTCAGCCTGTCACTCATCCTGACAACCTTGATGTACTGTCAGGACTCGAGCTGGATGACTACCAGTCTACCATCACATGCAATGGGAACAAATAAAAATGGATATGAAATAAATCCTAAAATAACAAATCACGCAGAAGTAGACATTATATATATATATATATATATATATATATATATATATATATATATATAAATTACATAAAATATATGAAAACTAAGCACATTTGTATTTTGTACTAATTTTAGAGGACATAGTTTCTTCTACTTTACAGCTATTTTTTCCAGCTCTTTAGATTTCCATTTTTTTATTCGAGTCAGAACAAGTTATTTGTTGGTAAACGACACATCGAGTAGTCACAAATCCTGTATTTATCAGATTTGATGGCGTCATTATCACGTCTGGATTATCATCCCAACTTTAACCAAGATTAGGCTTTCTCCTCCAAGCGGATACAGAGTCACAAAAGAGAACGAGAAGGTTTTTAATCCAAACTTTCTTGGTTTTAGGGATTCACGGTTGGTCAGATTTAAAGTCCTTTATGTCCAACCTAAACACTAACATGCTCTGAGTCTTTGCAATGAGGAAACAGAGCGATCCTTCAAGTTAAAGAAACAAATACATTTTGATAAATTTAAGATAGTCCAGACATGATAGTTTGAATGGGAACCTGGAAAATGTTTGGTGCATTCTGGGACACAAGAGTGGGCACAGATGTATATCTTGTTTTCACAGAAACGAACAGCCTGTAAAGGTGGCGTCTCTCCAGGCTGCGAGCAGATGGCCAACAGCATTCATGAGGGAGACTCCAGAGCGTCTTGCACATTTTGTGAAGTTCTCATCTTCCTCATGTGAGTGTGGAACTCGTTTCAGGAAATTTGTTCGAGAACTTTTCTCTTGGATAGTCACAGTTGCTGCAGGCGTCTCAAACCTGCCTCAGGAGCAACAGAGCAGCATTCTGGCTTCTCCTCGGAAGACGGAAAAGGACTGGAGCCACGGTGGGAAAAAATTATTTATTTTCTTAGAGTTCTGACTTTTTTCTCAGAATATCTGAATTTTGAGAATGAAATCAGAATTCTGAGAGAATTTATTTTTATTCTAATTATTTTTTTATGTGGCACCTCTCCTCTTCCATAAAAACATGCTGAGGATAAATAAGTTATTGAAAAACTGGTAAAGTTCTGTCTGAAAACAGGCAGTGACCTCACAGCTCAGTGATCTCTTGGTTGCAGAGTTCTGTTAGACAAACTCATGAACGTTCTCACAGAGTTACCAAAGAAATGGTCTCGCCTTCAAACAGGATGGCAACGCTGCTATAATTTGAAAAACTTGAGAGTCTTGGAAAGGTCTTCAGACGCGTATTAAGAACACGCTGGGTTTCCCAGCACAGGCAACAAGTTGTCGAGGATTCTGCACAAATAGCGAGGTTGGGATGGTTTATCTCTGTGGTGGCAGCAGATGACGAGCAGGACTGGTCACACTGGCCTCATGGCTCAGGCTCGATCGTGACGCTGTCATGGGAACGACCCAGAGCAGGCCATGTTCATGGCTGCTGGAAGGCGCTTAGATCAAGATAAGGATGCAGGAGAGTCTCAGGGACGTGAAAAAAGGAAAACTTTGTTGAAACCCATTTAAACAAACTACTTTTTGCATAAAACCAATATTTTACTCAACTAAAGGAGGTGGTTTTTATAAATCTGCACCTACACATTTCTGGTTTGGTGCTGGACTTGACTTGTTCTGGTGGCAGTTTCCCTTTACGTCTTCATTAATCAAGGTTACCTTGCTTTATTAATATGAGCTGGGAAATGCATGCATTTTTCAAAATAAAAGTCTCATAAAATCAAACAACTAAACAGTGAAGTTAGAATAAAAATCTTTAAATACTAATAAAAATGGATTTTTAAGTCAATTTAACTTCAAATATTAATTATCTGGACCATATAAGGTCTGATATATTCATTATTTACTTATTCTGGTATTAGTTTTATTCCAACTTTACTGGACCCATTTGTAGTTGTGTTATTTATAGAATAAAATAGTGGCATTGCATACATTTACTCAAGCTGTATATATTTCAGAAAACAGTGGAGGATAATGACAGCATTTATTCACAGACCTAATGCAGAGGAACACCCCATCATTCCTGCAGCTGTCAGTTTCCCTGACCCAGAAACGAAGAACGCTCAGGGCAGAAAGTGTGGAGCAGTCGAGAGCTGGCAGTGTGTGTGTGTGTTGGCAGAAGTGCGTGGCTGTTTCTGGCGTGTGTGTTCGGCTGCTGTCTGTCCTGCTTCAAATGTTTATGAATAAGTTTCCCTCATGGTTTATGGAAGTGTGTCAGCTCAGAGGGAGAACGCAGCAGCGGACCCACAAATATTCAGTTTTTCTTTTAGTTAAAGTCATCAAACAAACTGATTGAAGAGAAATATTATAATACAAATCAGGATTTTACAGCCAGCAGGTGAACTCCACTCTTTCCAGACAGGAAACTTACCTGATGTCTGAGTGTTACAGGTGCTGACAGCACCTGGATTTAGAGTTTTATTAGTTTTGACTAACGGAGCCAAATGTAAACTTTTAACGAAGAATAACTACAACCTACCCCAGCTCTGATGATCATTCGTGCATTCACACAAAGACTCCAATCTAAATCTAAACAAACTGCATCCGCAGCTGCGTTTTGCTCTGTTGGACGTTCAGACTAACCGATGAGCACTTTGGACCGTCCAGAAGCACACTGCACAAGTAGGCCTGTCATGATAACAAATTTTGCTGGACGATTAATTGTCTCAGAAATTACTGCGATAATCAATAATATTGTTTGAGATTTGACAATAATTAGTAATTATTGTCAAATTTAAGAGGACAATTTAATTTGTTTAGTGTGTAGTACCTTTTTTTGGCCACCGGATGGCAGTATAAGACTGTTTGGACCGAAGGATGGATAGTGAGGGAGCGAGGAGTGTGTCTCTTTAAGTAAAATGTGAGGGAGGCCCCTTGACGTGACATGGGCTGTCTCTCGTTCTTGTTTTTTAGTTCTCAAAATCGTGGACTCTTGGTGTGATTTGAGCTCTTTAACATAGCATTTTTCACATAAAGCTTTTAATAAAACATCAGTAAACAAGTTCTCAGCTTATTTTTGCAGAGGAAAAACAACTTTTTACACGAAGGCACGGGTTTCAACTGTGAATTTTGGAGCTTCGACAAGATGGAGTTCCCCGAGGTCAGCTTGTTAGCTTAGCTCGTAGCTTAGCTGCTTTTAACGATACAAAAACATGATTTTGGACGGTTAAAATGGATTTTAAATAGAAAAGAGAAAGGGAGGGGTCAGCGAAGAGCACCGGAGTTGAGCTTTTTGTCATCCAGTGTCTTCAGTAGAAAGAGAGAGACATGAAGAAACGATAAAGCCGATAAATGAAAATGAGGTTGATAATTTTCATTTATCATGCGATTAATTGATTTATTGTTTATCACGACAGGCCTATGCTTGCGTTCTTTTAAAATTGACACATTAAAAAAAAAGAAGTTATTTTTCTTTCAATTCTGGCTCCACTTCCTGCTCTTTACCTGTATTGTTCACTTTACGACAGTTACTGTTAAAGAGAACTGCAGCATCGCCGGGATAAACATCAACAAATAAAGAAAGTGTGCTTCATCCTGATCATGAGGATCAACTAGTAATCAATAAAAAAATAATGTGTACATTTTGTTAATTGAGTCAGGGTTTATTTAAGCAATTAATGATTTTAAAACCAGACATGTTTGCGAGCGTTTATTGTTTTTAAGTATGAAAAAATAATTATCTGATATGGAAGCATTCCTCAGTATTGTTGTTTTGCACTACAGCTCAACGAGCTGAATCGAATCACATATTGAATCGAGTATTGTTATTAAAGACTGAATCGAACCGTGAATTGTTTTATTGCTGCTCATGTATCTTCAGTGAATCGGATCATTTGTAGCGTATGAGACCGTGCATCGGATCGGTCGCAGAGCAGAGAAGCACAACCACAAACTCCAGTGTCTGTTGTGCACGGCTCGTCTCTCGTGACCAATCAGTTCAACTCGTGGAGGTAGAAAACCTCCATCCCAGAATCTTGGAAGTTTATATATTTTTTTTGCCTGCTTAAAGGAAATTAGTGTTTCTTATCGAAATATTAACTAAAACAATTTGAATTTTATACTTTGTTCTGCAGTTTGATGCAATGGGAGTGTTTGTTTTGTTCTAAGGCACCAGCAGTTGTTCAGACCCACTCATATTTAAAAATCCTTGCTAGAAGAACAGAGTCTGATGCTGCATTAAATAAAAACTGGTTTCTGTAGTCTAACTTTACGGGAACTAAACAACGAATGTGAAATTTTAGGATTTAATGGGTACAGGTAAAAGTGCGGGACATGTGACTGGGATGGGTTGGACAGCGGGAGTGTCGATGAGTTACTATCAAGACGAGGACACTGGTGGGTGTTTGGGTTGGTGGGCGGAGCTTAGAGTAAAATAGAGCTTTACTGTGGGTGCTGGTGGAGGCCTGACCTCTGGTGGTTGGCAACATGTCGGAGAGGCCCTGCCACGCCGTCACCATCTCCGGGTTCTTCTGGTCGGCAAAGTTCTTCCAGACGCGCAGCGCTCCGTCGTCTGAACAAAAGGAAGAGGTGGAGGAACGATTCAGAAACAAACAAAACAAAAAACAATTAAGTATGCATGTTAAACAAGCTGCAGAGCTCAGACAAAACTCCATAAGTGAAACAAAGCAGTACACCGATGCCACCACCCCCGTCTCTGAGAGAATTAAACAGTGAAGGTTTGTAGCTTTTGAGATGAATGTTTTTTTGAACAGAGGATGTAAACTTTTATGTTTTTAGGTGTGAAATATTCAAGTGGGTACACTGTGGAGAAGAATGGAGGCAGGCTCTTGTTTTGCTTGTCCGGGGCAGTGAAGAGTGACGGGTCCTGGCGTGCGGACGGAGACATTTTATCCACCAACAGGTGCAGTGGAGGAGTCAGGGGGTGGCCAACGGTGACCTTGGCCACCATAAATTAATCTTTGGCCACCCCAATCATTTGAGAAAACAACACTTAAGCAATATAAAAACTATAAAGCATAGTTTCCTCAAATGATCAGGGTGGCCAGTGGATTGGATTTTGACGTGACAACCCAACTTTTCATAGTGACCCTTTTACGCCTAGATGCAGCTACACATCAAAATGGAAGTTGGCACTAATCTTATTTTTCAAATTATCCAAGTAACATGGATGGACAGAGGCTCTTGTCGCTCCGTGACAGGGAAAACATCTGGAGTTTTAAATGAACAACAACAAAAAAAACACTTTAAATCTTTCAAAACATCCGAGGTAAAGTTTGAAAGCACCACCGGCCAGAGAACGCTGAATCCTAAACTTTTCTTCCCCCGTACGCATCTTGTGAGAGAGAAAAAGAAAACGAGTCAGGAAACTTCGCCCGAAAAGCTCTGCAGCTCAAACATGGCTAAAAGCTGAACGTAAAACACGTCTAAGCATTCTTATGAGAAAGCTATTACAAGCCATAAAAGTTTCCACACGATTTATGCTCAGCGTTATATATTTTTTTAAAGCTGTATCTTTAAAAGTAATGGTATCCGTCGAGCATGACTGATGGAGAAAAGCTGAACGAGTGCACATTACGTTTTGATGAGATGGAATTTAAACGTATTAATCCCAGGACGTTTTATCAGAGTGAGATGTTGCAGCAAAGTGCAGCGTTTACTCTTAGTTTAACTTTATGTTGAGCAAAATAAATGGGTTTTAATGTAGAGCTGTTTTCTACAGAATCATGAAGATAAAGCAAAGGAGGATAATTGCTTTGTTTTATTGATGAGGAATACACATGGGTGCATCAGTGTTTGTGGGGGTAAAGATAAAGTGTTTACAAGCTGCTACAAACGTCCGCTGTACTGCTGGTTTTATTAACTGGAATTTTTTTTAAAGAAATTCGAGGTGGTGCCAATACAGTCCAAAATAACATTTACTCTCATCTTTTGACCTCATTCTTCACCTAAACCAGGACCCTTCCATGCTGTGGAAATTAGGAAATGTTCTTCCGGTGTTAGCCTTGGAGCCATCGGCAAAAAGAGCTTCCTCTGTAGGGTGGCCGAGCTCAGCCTTAAGGTGAGGAGCTCCGTCATCCAGGGGAGCTCGGAGTACAGCGGCTGCTCCTCTCCATCGAAAGGAGCCAGCTGAGGTGGTTCGAGCATCTGATTAGGTTGACTCCTAAACGCCTCCCTTTGGGGGTTTTATGGATGTCCAACTGTGAGGAGACCCCGGGGCAGATCCAGAACTCGCTGTAAGGGTTATATTATACCTCGCACATCTGGAGATGCCTTGAGGTCCCCCAGGAGGAGCTGGAGAGTGTCGCTGGGGAAAGGGAGCTCTGGATTTCCGTGACCCAGCCATGGATAAGCGGTAGAAGATGAATGGATGGATAAAACACTTCACTAACTCATTGGAGGAAAACAATAGGAGTCTAAAATACAATGGAAGTCATTGAGAGTTTGGATGTGCATACTGTACATTCTGAAGAGATGAGAGAAAAATCCACAAGTCCTACAGCACCGAGACACTCTGGGTAAAAAGTCAAAAATACATATGTTTTGATGTATAGTTGTATAGGAAGTGTGGAAGTTTGTGGAAATAGGAATTTGCTAAATTTATGGAAAGTTTAGAGAGCTCAACAATTAGCGTCATCACACGAGTTGCATTCTGGCTAGGGGTGCACCGATACATTGGCCGAGCGATTTATCGGTGCACCCCTAGCCCTGATTTCCTTAATTTTGGGAAATAGACCGATACTTGCATGAGGAACCGATTTTACCAATTTTTTTTGTTTTAACAATTGTCTGAACTTCATTTATATTTCAGAGCAACTACCTCATGGTCAGTTAAAACAAGTTTGGACTGTTTCTAGGATATCGTTCAAGGGTCTGATTTTCAATAAAATAATATTGGAAAATTGAAGGTGCATTGTGACCTTATAACACCTGACAGTGTCGATTATAAAACAAAATCGGTATCGGCAGGTCAGACTTTTTAGAAATCGGTGATTGGCCAGAAAACTGCAATCAGTGAACCCCTAATTCTGGCCCCAAAAATCTGACCCCAGCCCAAAGCCATAATTTCCAAACCTCACCCGACCCAACAAATTAACAGTAATTACAAGTCCAACCCCCCCCCCCCCCCCGATATTTTTAATTAAGCTTTTACAGCTTATATAGTTATTAACGGTTGGCGGACACACGCGGCTAAGGAGGCAAAAGATCGGAGCTGAGGGGGTGTTTGTCCTAAGCGCATTAAATCCATGCTTCTGCCTGCATTCTGCATTATTCAGACACGGACCCTGCTCTGACATGTTGGATATTTTGTGATCTCACCTGTTTGAGTTGTCGGCCGTGCACGTCCGCTGAGTGCAGCGGCTGAATGAACGTCCATTTGGGCTGATGGATCGCTGGCAGTAGTCCATCTGAAGCTTAACTGAACTTTTCATCTCTTTCTAGGCTGGTCAGAGTGCGGTCAAATGGCCGCGTGCGGCTGGTGATTGTATGGCAAGCCATGTTGCCATATAACTGGATTGTCAGCCGCATGCGTCTGCTGACACAATCAAAAGCCCGACACCGACCTGCACATTAAACATTATTATGGCCCGGCCCTAATCCGGGTCAGGCGGGGCCTGGCTCCGGGTTAGAAATGACAGCTCTACATCAGACTCCAGGTTGAACATTTTGTGGCAAAATCTTCAAAAATGATAAAACTTAAACTGTGATTTTGTAAAGATAAAAAATCAGATACCTAAATGAAGCATAAAGTCCAACTTTCTGAGGCTCGTTTAAACTTTCAGTGGTGTTTCTATTGTGAAGTCTGAGCTGGATTTTCGCGCTCGTTTTGCTAACAAGTGGACCGTTATCAGATTTAAACCTTATGTTCTAATGAACATGCGTGTTTCCAACCTGTTGCAGTGAGGAGTAACGAACAGTCGTGTCCATTCAGGTACTCCATGGCCGTGATGCGAGTGTAACGAGGGTTTCCGTTGTAGAAGTAGTCTAGCCTCTCGCCCTTCTCCCAGTCCCAGAAACTGTAAGAGACACAAAGACTCGTTAGAACTAGACCAGTGTCAAGTTTCAAAGAATCAAGAGAGAAGACGAGTCATCATCATTCTCTGGGATAAGCTTCTGCACATTCAGACAGTGTAGTGTTCTCCGTCTCGCACCAGATGCTGTCCTTGTCGGCCACAGCGATGCAGGTATTGAAGGGGTGAAACTTCACCACAGACGGTACACCGGGGTTACGGTTGATGAAAATCTGATCGTCCAGTCGAGAAATACCTGCAACGGAAGGGAGAAACCAAGAAAAGAACTGTAAAAAGCTCTGGAAACAGAGAGGTCACGTGTTTGACTCCTGGTGTGGGTTAAATGACTCCCACAGCCACCTTGAATTTTTAACCAACAAGAAGACTGGTGGGGGGGGGGAAAATAACTGAACAAATAAATAATTTCTAAGGTTCTGAGTATGCGCTGGTCCAGGAAATAACCACAGCAGTGCCCTAAATAAATATACGCATTAAGGAGAGAAGTATGTATTTTTGGTGATGCTCCACTGACTTCAGCTCCTTTTTCAATGGCTAAATCAAAAAACATGCAACCAATCAACAAAAATGGTTAAATCATGACGTCTGGACCAGTTTATTTAAGTGAGGAACGTTTCGTCCCCCATCCAGAGGACTTCCTCAGTCTACGGCCTGCCAACCGGATCTGTCCCATAGGTAGCCTTCACTGCTGTGTTTCAAGGCAACCTCCTGTTGGAATCTCAGAAATAGGCTTTTAACATGCAAACAGAACACACCCATCCAAAACAATCAATCAAAATGTACAATAATCAAATGTTTTAGGCCAGATGGCCAACTTGCTACTCTCAGAAACAGCCCGAGGACAACCAAGGCCAAAGTGGTTCAGAAAAAAGGTTGTAAGCTCAATCATCCAGGTAGACGACAACAAAAAAGGTTAAATCGTGTCATCTGGACCAGTTTCTTTAAGTGCAGATGCAGCCAATCAGTTACCGATAATTGAGGGTCTTAAAACTGCAAGTCCTTGTGTCCATTTTATGTTACTTTAAACAGAGTTTAGCTTTAGATTTTGTACTTCTTTGTGTTGAATAAAAAGGAAAACCAAGTATCAGAGAACACCAGCGTCTGTTTTAGCAAAGACAGAGGAGAAGTCCATGAACAGAGGGGTCATTGATCCATTTAAATCAGTTCAACATATGGGAGCCCGATGGACCAGGGCCAGTCTTAAGCTTGATGGTCCTCCATCAGCCTGTGTTAGACCATAATGAGGAGTTCTTCTGCTTTCTGGAAACCATCATGTCCTCGAACCAAAGGTGAGGAGTAAATATCATACTTAGAGCAAAAATGGAGTTTTACCCCCGTGGGAAAAGTGAAAATGTTTAACTTGCTAAAAGAAAAATTCACAGATCTTTTCTACATCTGCCAAAAACATTAGAGGCTCGTCGATAAACTATTAGATTATTAATCTGTAGCGATGGCCCGGACAAACAAAGACCGTACATACAATTTGACCTTCATTTGTGATCTTGACCTTGAAGCTGGGGTGCTGAAAAGTGTACGCGATACTCCGTCTTGCGATTAGACATTTGTGTATCACGTTTTGGTAAATTAACTTGAGTTGATCAGAAGTTATGGGCGGGACAAGAGGACAAATGGAGACGATCCCGTAATTTGGCCGCCTTTCAACCGGCGGATAAAAAGTAGTTTTAAAGATGTTTTCACATTAACTAACACTAAAGGAAAATTTATTTCTAGTACAGGATTGTCAAACGAATTTCAGTTTTATAAATGTGTGGGTCTGCTAATTTGAATTTTTAATAGTTCTTCCACATAAAGTAAATTTAAAGAAATGCACATGAAAACGGAAGATTTACGCTAAGCTTTCAAAGGCAAGAACAAAGCTTGACGAATGATAAAAAAGAAATTTATTTTTGAGGGTAAAAGTAAAAGCAAGCAGGATTAAAAAAAGAAGAAGTTACTCATTTGATGGTAGAAAATTAAATGAAAGAAGAAGAAGAAAAAAAAAAAGTCCTCCAGATTCATTCAAGTAAAAAGTCTGGTGGTACAGTTTGTTGTCATGACAACAGCACAGACCAGTTCACCAGCAGCCGCTTCTCGGCTCCATGAATTAAATATCAAGACCGTCACAATGAAATCAAGAAGAATGGGTGAAAACATCCATCACGGATTCATTGCAGATGGCTGCAGCAGAGAGGAGCTTCAGGTCTGATTAAAATCATCACGGATGAACGCTTTTGTTTGCTCTGATAAAAGGATCTGCTCTAAAACCCTAAACTGCACGTTAGAACAGAAGGGTTGAATTAATTCTTGTATAAAATCAAAACTCCTCTGCCCTGGGTCTACCTCCCTCCTCCTCCTCCTCGTCTCATTTCTCTCAGGAGGGAGACGACTGAATGAGGGCAACCCTTCTACTCGTTTCAGAAATCTGTGAGGGGAATTCAGGGATGGAGCGGGCAGTACGTGAGCAAACCTCAGCTATGACGCCAATCGCCTCGTGACTCCGTGTGCGAGGAGCTGCCAATGACGTCAGGTTGGTTAGTGATTCTGTTTGAGAAATCTCTAACATCACTTGGGGATTTTGTGAATTTGATGCTACTCCAGGCTCTTTAATGTGTGTGTGTAAGAGGGAAGTCTTGTTACTCATAAACGATGATGTTTCCAGCTGCAAACTGATTTCAGTCCATCCTCTAATTACTCAGAATCCTCTGCACGCTCGGTCAACATGCAGCCGAGCTGCAGCAGGAAGTTTATATATATATATTTTAAATTCTTTGACTGGTTTTCTTTTTAAACACACGTTCTGAGTCAGAAACCCGGTGCTGAAAAAATCCACACGCACAAAAGCTTTTTTTATTCTCTCTATAAAATCTAAGCTACTTTTCCAGAAACAAAAATGAAGTAGAACAGATCTCTGTGAAGACCCGTTCTAGTTTTAGAAAATGTGCTCATTGACTTACAAACGGCACGTGCACATGACATACAATTGGCTGACTGATGGATGAGCTGCAAGATTGGCATGGATTTTTAAATAAAAAATAAATTAAAAATTATTTTGCACCTGTTGCACCTGTGTGCAGCCCACATGTGCAGGGAGAAGCTCCCTCCTTCAGAATGTCATGATCTCTGCTCTGCAGCAGGGAAGTGGGTGTGGCCGAGAGCGCTGCAGAGAGCAGCAGGTGGGAGAGAGAGCAGAGATCATGATATGCTGTGCTCGTTCAGTGTTTAGAAACATTTTTTTTAGAATATTGTAAGAGTGTGGGAAGGGTTTAAAACACCTATATATATATATATATATATATATATATATATATATACAGATAGGGACAATCTAGGTTGACAAAGGGTTGGACATTTCTATCTTACTGGGATGACAAGGTGGAGCAAAGAGAAGATTTTAACAAAGGGGTCACCTGGGACCTTGACGTTGGACCTCATGACTCGAAATTACCGGTAATTAAAATTCGTCTTGACCCAAGAGGTGTCGAGTTGTGCAGTTTGACATTTCTATGTTAAATGGCTATTAATTTAGAAAATGGACAAGAAAACATCCACAGGCAGACAGCTGAACGGTGCCACACCATAATACGTTCCATCTTAGGTGGAAGAAGCACGTATAAAAACACCATTTATAACAGACATACAATCAAATGTTTCTCTCAATATTTAAATCATGGAAAATTCCATCAGAATAACAAAAAGCAGTGAAACAATTTAAACGCTTCAAAAGACGTCCCCTTTAACTCGATACTCAGCACCCTCATGCTTGTGAGCCTCACCTTTTTGTGTGATAACTCGACTCAGTTTTCTCACTCGATTGTTCCTCAGGAACCTCCACTGACGCTCCATCCTCACCTGACTCTCCGAGTCGTGCTCCTCTGGGATCTGGGGCGGCGAGAAAAAGAAAAATAGACAAAAGTCTGATTTAAATTTCAGGAGGAACACCAGATTATAATTGTGTCGTTCCTTCTGTATTTGCAAGAAGAAACTGGTGCGACAGAAAATGAGAAACGATGGTTCTGCGATTTCTGCTGTAAAGAAGCAGAACTCCTTTGTGAATAATTAGTTAATAGGTCTAACTAAATATGCTTAATGTGCCTTTCTGTCATATCATATCTGTGGGATATGAAATAAAATAAAATCATGAACATGTGAAAATCTTTGCAAACATACTGTCCTGCTCAACATTTCCTCACTGTCTGAAAACTCTAACTTTATTCAGTTCTGCTGAGAATATTGTCAAAGCTGATGTAACGCATGTTTTGAAACCTTTCTAGTTTGCAAAACAAATGTTTCTTATGCCTAAAATGACTTTCTAGGATTCAAATGGACATTTTTCACTAAGCAAGAACGAACAGAGTATATAAGCTTCAGAAAAATGGTAAATGGACTGTACTTATACAGCACCTTTCTATCTTATCAAGACGCTACAATCTGTGCCTCATTTACCCATTCATACAGCACTCTATTTTCGGCATGTGACTGCTGGTGGAATTGAACATACAACTCTTGCATTGGAGGACAACTACTCTAACCACTCAACCACAGTTGCCCCCCAAAAACAAAATTAGAAAAGCAATCGATGTTGCTCAACAATCTGGGAAGGGTTAAAGGTAATTTCTCAACTATTTGGAGTCCATTGTTCAACAGAGATAAAAAAAATTCTCATAAGAAAAATATTTTAAGATCGCTGCCAATCTTCACAGGAATGGACGTCGCAGCAAATCCACACCAAAGGTCAGACTACATGTCACCACCTTGGGTTAGGGCAGCGGGGTGTCCTCCTTGGAAAATAATCCAGGAAACGCTAATTGGTGTTCTCACCTGCAGTCCGTCTCTGAGTGAGGAACACTGCGAGCACCTGCCCTGCTCCGCACCGACTGGGCCAAACTCTGTTTCTCTTTATCGGTTGAAAGAAGCGTCAGTTTAATCCCTGGATCATCATTACATTGGATGGATTGAACAAGATCACAACAAAACACATATTCCCCCCCCCTTCATTTTTACAGAAGGAAATCCGTCCCGGCGACAGAGAACTTTAATCCATGCCTATTTCACTTGGCTGTCCGCTGGACAACAACACTGAGATGAGATCCAGGTGAAAATAGGTTGTCTCAGAAAACTGGAAACCACTTATGCTGACCCCTGTGCTGCAATGGCCCAGTCGGAGTCAAGAATCTTAACCTGAGGGAAATGCTGTGGTGGGATCTTCAGAAAGCTGAGCAGCAACCTCAATGGACTGAAGCAACAGTAGAAAGAAGAGTGGGACACAACCATGTGAGGGACAGGAACATAAAACCACTGAGTTCTGCTGCTGAAGGACCCAACAACCAAACAAGCCTGAAAGTTTCTGCTAACTTCTTGTTTAAGAGTTCAGAGTTGGACTAACTTTGCTGCTACGCTCATGAGGTTACCGAGAAAATGAGTCAAGGTATCGCCCACTTTATGTAATTACATCTAATCACATCCACTGAGCAGGGGGACAGGCTCAAATTATTACATTATTAAGCCTTATGTAACAAAATGGACCCCACAGACTACAAGTGAACAGAATAACTCTTATTAAATTGGCATTAAATATGCAGTTTAAATGAAAGTCCAGATGAATGCATTGAAGTCAGACGTGATGTAGTAAATAAACAGTAAAGCTGTACGTGTGTGGTGTTTGAGCTTATTAAGGACGTTTCAGCCGTGAAGCCTCCCACGGCTGCCAGATAATAAATATGCAGCTTTAAATCCACCTGACCACAGTCCTACTGTGTGTCATCAACAATACTGGGACGCCCTTGAGTGCGTGCACGTTGCTTAGAAATAATCCCACTTTTTAGCACCTTAGAGGACAGCTTTGGAATAAAAAGATGTGTGAGGGGAGTCCGTCTGTGTGTATTCTAGTCAGGTCTACCTGTAATTCATGAGCATCTTCTCAGGGGACTTTTTAGTTCCTGACGAAGTGTGAGAGGAAGCGGATTTAGCAGTAAGACTCTGACGTATTCCCAGAGCTACAAGGGGAAAAAATGTGTGCATGTGTGTGTGGCAAGGTAAAAGCCAGCTGATACTCTTGTGTCCATGGTTGTGGTCCTGCACTGTCAGCTGCTAATGTGTTGTATAATGAGACCCTGGCCTGAAAGATGTTTGTACATTCTGCACACAGATTGGACAGTCCTTAAGACCAGTCCTATAAAACACAAATTAAACTATAAAAACCCTTCGAGCTGCAGATTTCTCAGCTCACGAGATGGCTGACAGCACACTCACAAAGTGCAATAAGGCAGAATATTTTTAACGATGACTGTTTTTTTGCCCATTATATTGTTTTTAGGATTGTATGGAGAAAAAAACTGAATTAAAATTTGCATTATTGCACAGCCTTAAGAACAACTGATATTTTTTAAAATGCCTTCCAAAAAGTAGGGATAAAAAACGCTGGTAAATCAGTGCAGGCTGGAGATAAGGAGCTTGAACTTAACAAACACCCACGATTGTCTTGAGCCTTGGAAACCAAAACAACAATAGAGCTGTTTAAACATTTTCTGTCTTGCTTTATCCTGATCCTACTGCTATTAAGCTTTGATCGTGTGTCAAAATGGTTAAATCTAAACATCTAAACATGATTTCACCTCGTCTCAGGTGGAGAAGTTCAAGTATCTGGGTGTCTCATTCATGGATGATGGTAGGATGAAGTGAGTGATCGACTGATGAATCAGGACCTCGGTAATGAGGGCGTTGCTTCAGTTGGTCGTTGTGAAGAAAGAGTTGAGTCGAAAGGCAAAGCTCTGGATTTACTGGTCTGTCTACATTCAAACCCCACCTGTGGTCATGAGTTTGGATCATGACTGAAAGAACCAGATCCTGGATCCAAACGGCCGTCCCTCGTCTCTGATTTTGTTTGTGGTGTTCATGGACAGCACCTATAGGCATAGTTGTCGAGAGGAGGGTGTCTGTGTAAGGGAACCTCATGGTTTCATATCTGATTTATGCAGATGATGTGGTTATGTTGGCTTCTTCAGGCCATAACCTTCAGCATGCACTGGGGCAGTTTTCAGTAGAGTGTGAAGTGGCTGGGATGAGAGTCAGTTCCTCTAAGTCCAAGGCCATGGTTCTCATCTGGAAATGAGTTGAATGCCTCCTCTAGGTTGTGGGGTGGGTGGGGTCTTAGCTTCTGGTGGAGGAGTTCAGGTATCTGGGCATCTTTTTACTGAGCGATGGTAGAATGGAGCAGGAGATGGATCAACCGACTGTGTCTTTGTCCTCAGTAATGATGGCGTTGCTTCCGTCGGTCTTGGTGAAGAAAGAGTTGAGTCTAAAGGCACAGCTCTGGATTTACTGGTCTGCCTACGATCAAAGGTGGGGTGAGATGGGGTAGAGGTAGGGTAGCTGACTCGGGACCCAAAAGTCCCAGGCTCAATCCCCAGCCATTCCCACACGTCGTAGTGTCTCTGAGCAAGACACCTAAACCCTAATTGCTCCCTGGACATTTACATAGCTGCCCACTGCTCCACCTGGGTGTATCCCAGGTGCGATGGGTTAAATGCAGAGAACTAATTTCGCCATTGTATGGGAACATACATTGATGACAACACATACCACTTACTAAACCCTTCCTGGATACAAGTGGCCAAAATGGGCTTCCTTCATAGGGTGGCCAGGCTCAGCCTTAGAGACAGGGCGAGGAGCTCTGTCATCCCTTCATGATCCCTTCACTTGGTGTTTGATGCACCTTGGTGGGGTCCCTGACCCCAAATTTTGGAACCACTGGTCTATTCATCTATTTGGAAGTCTATAAATAATTGATCAGATTTTTTTTCCCAATCCTGTGCTTGTTCTATTCAAAGTGTGGCTCTTGTAATTTTCCTTATTGCATCCAGTTTTATTCGTGTTGATTTACATTTTCAAACTACTACCTCATCTTCTGGTTGCCCATCTTTAGGAGTCTCCACAGCTCATCATCTGCCTCCATCTCCCAGCATCCTCCTCTTTCACACCAACCCTCTGCAGAGTTAAGGCTCCAGTATACTCCCGCGTCCTGTCAGCCACGCGGAAACTGTGCGCACTATCCGCAGGGGGTTGAGACGTCATGCTCGAGCGTCCACCCTGAGTGGCTGCAGAACAGCTCCACAGACAAGAGGCGTTTACCTTCGGGACAAATTGAGGTCGCCGATTGGTCATTTGCTGACACGCCTAATGGATTGATTGACAGATTGAAAACAAACCCCCGAGCTGGCAGCCCCATTGAGGTCGCCGATTGGTCATTTGATGACATGCCTACTGGATTGATTGACAGGTAAAAAAACCAAAAAACAAAAACGAGCTGGCAGCCCCAGCCGCAGCGGTGTTCTGTGTTTATATGTTGTTAATAAAAAGTTCTAAAACATTAAAAAAAAAAAACAGGGAGCGCTGGCCCTGCAGCCCACACATCAGAGCGGCCCACCAGGAAATCTCCAGACCCTCCCGCAGCCACGCTGGACCTGATTTTAATTCGCTCGTGACAAATTCCTTCATTTCTCACCATTTCAGTCATGGCATCAACGGAGGATCACTTGCCTTTTGACAAAAACAAAAGAAAAGGCCAGATCAGGGATGAAGAAGGAGAATTTAATACATTGGTGTCGCGTACAAAACAGTCCGTCGCCGGGCAGTTTATTGTGCGACACAGAGTACGCGTACGTAAAAATTAAGCTTTGCGTGGTCATGCCCTGCGGGCGTCCGCTTCAACTCTAATCTGGTACGTGCAGACCTCTGCAGACTGACGTACGCGGGAGCATACTGGGGGCTTAAAGCATTTAACAGTATCTAAAGAGACATTTCTGTTTATATGTCGTCTATTATTCTGAAGTTCACCTGCTGGTGTAGATAGCGTTCAGTCTTTTATTTTGAAGGGTACAGTAATGGGGTCGGAGATTGTGCTGTAATGACGGGGTGTGAAGGAAAACAAATAAATAGTGGAGACTCCGTTCGTAGTAGTATTGGATTATTTTATCGTGTAACATGCAGATCCTCCTTCACTACATCATAAAACTTCTCTTCTCCTCCTCCCTGGCAGCTTCATATTCAGCATCCTTTGTCGCTCCTATCCCCCGCACCTCTCCTCTGCCCAAACCAACAATGTGACCATAAAGCTGGACGAACAAATACAACTGAAGACGATGTGGAAAACAAAACCACAATAATACTTGAACAAAATATAATAACCCATAACTTAAATCTGTACATCGTTGCACTGGTTTCCAGTTAAATTTAAAACTTAATTGAAGAATTTTCTTCCACTCATTGAACGTGTCAACAGTCCAGACAGGAAATATGTTGTATATCCTGAAGACCAGGTTGGAAAGTGCCTCTGATCTACAGGGAGCAGAGCTAATGGCTGCCCGCAGTTCAAACCAAACAAGGTGAAAAGCTTTTTAGTCATTACTTCACTGGAATCCGCTCCCACCAGGACCCGGTTCTGATCCGGCTGTAGCCACTTTAAGAGCTAAGATTAACTCGGTTCATCACTGCTTCTGAATCGAAGATGCGGCTTTCGTCAAATGTTGAAATGTACCGTACGATACGTTTTCTGCCGTTTTAAAGTTACATTTTAGTCTGAAGAAAGTTTGATTTGACGGCTAATCAGTGGTTTCCCTTAAAAGAGAGGAAACACAAATTGTCCAAATATTTAAAAATCCCTAACTTTTACTTTACAAAAGTTCAAACAGACAAACTAATGTCTGATTTTTATGAGAGCAGATGATTATAGGAAAAACTGCTGCCATATCCAGTCCTCAAAATGCTTTTATTTTTTTTATTTTTATAATGACAAAAATTTGTATTTATTACCAGCCAAAGGCGGCACACAGCATGGCTGGCTTAAACCTGCAAAATGCTAGCTAAAAGCTAGAGGTAGCAGAATGGTAGCTAAAAAAGAAGCAACAGGTTAGCTAAATGCTAAATGTAGCATAAAAATACAAACGCAGCAGTTTGCTGAAGTAGATTTCAAAGAGAACAACATTTATGAAGGAAGTGAAGGAATCAACGCTTGACTGTGGAAAATAATTTTAAATATAAATATTTTAGAAACCTTAAAAAATGTCTAATTCCTAAAGTCACAGCGCCTAACGCCTAAGAGAGCTGAATGTTTTGATTTAGCACAGAAGTATTTAGATTAAGAAAGAGGAAAACAACGATGTGAATGCAGACTCAGAAACATTTAAAATCCATCGTTTGGTGTCTTTAAAAAAGCGACTGTGGAGGTTCGGGATGATACAAAATCCATCCCCAACATCTGGGTTTGACCAAATCACTTCTCTTCATCTTAAGATTTCCCTGAGGACGATGCCACGTTACGGAGCTGCAGATCTCCATTATTCGGAGGAGCCATCGTGCAGAAGCGGCGGGTGGTTTCTCTCTCTCTGATTGGTCGACAACTTGCTGGTTTTTGTTTCGGTTCATTACATTTGAAAATGAAATCCAACACAGAGTTCATACCTGAGTAACCAGTTCAGTCCCCAAACCGCTGCGGGGAGCGGGATGAACAAACAGCAATGATGAAATGTGTGAAAATAACAGGCCGTACTCTTATTGGGTGTTGCTTAGCAACAAAAATAAAAGTCATTTTGACAGGATGAGTCAAACTGATGGTTTGAAGACAGTTTCCTCGACACAGAGTGGACAATAAGTGACTATGAATCAAGTTTAGAGTTAAGCTACACATGTTTTTTCAATATCCTCATCTTTTGGTAAATTTTTGTTTCTGGTTTCCGTTTTTTCCTTGTGTTCAGTTGTTCCTCGGTGTTTCATCACCTTCAGCACTTTTCCACAGTCGGTCTCTGCTCCTCTAACTTACACCTGTTCTCCATTCCTATTTGTCTCAGCTGCAGCCACTTACCTCATCACTCACTCAGTGTTTCATTGATTTTCTACCTACATCTACCTACAGTCTGTCGTTGTGGCTTCCACGCCCAGTCTGGGTCTCCTTCGGTTCTCCTTTGTGTCTCCCTACTTGTACTTATCGTTGTTGCCACGTCAACATTTTATTTTATTAAACAGATCTAGAAGTTCTCATATTTGTTTCCTTTCTGGGTCCTACCTCTTCAGAACCTGACATGTTTAAGTCTTAAGAGTAAATCTAACTTGTGATTACCATGAGCAAATTTTTCAAAAGACGTATTAGTAGGCCTGTCGCAATAAACAATAAATCAATTAATTGCATGATAAATGAAAATTCTCGACCTCATTTTCATTTATCGGCTTTATCGTTTCTTCTCGTCTCTCTCTTTCTACTGGAGACACTGGATGACAAAAGGCTCAACTCCGGTGCTCTTCACAGACCCCTCCCTTTCTCTTTTCTCTTTAAAATCCATTTTAACCGGCCAAAATCACGTTTTTGGATCGTTAAAGGCAGCTAAGCTAAGAAGCTAAGCTAACAGGCCGACCACGGGGGAAAAAAAACCCTCTGTCTCGTCGAAGCTCCAAAACTCACGGTTGAAACCCGTGCCTTCGTGTAAAAAGTTCTCTGCAAAGAAGCTGAGAACTTGTTTACTGATTTTTTAATTAAGTTTTGTGTGAAACTAAAGAGCTCAAACCACACCGAGCGTCTGCCATTTTGAGAACCAAAAAACAGGAACGAGACGCAGCCCATGTCACGTCAAGGGGCCTCCCTCCCATTTTTCTTAGAGACACGCTGCTCGCTCCCTCACTATCCATCCTTTGGTTCAAACAGTCTTATACTGCCATCCGGCTGTCAAAAAAGGCACTAAACACAAAAATTAACCAAATTTATTCTTAACTTTGACAATAATTATTAATTATTGTCAAATTTCAAACAATTTTATTGTTTATCACAATAATTTCTGAGACAATTAATCGCCCAGCAACATTTGTTATCGTGACAGGCCTACGGATTAGCATATTTTATTTTTATCCCCCTCTGCCGAATGGAGGATAATTATTTTGCCTGTGTGTTGATTAACTTTCAGAAAGTAATCATTGGTTGTTTATCTACAAATTAATATCTTTTCAAGTCAACCCAAATCAAAACTGCTGCATTTAACTGAACTTAAAAAACATAAATGTCTACACTTCAGTCAGTTTTACAGAAACAGACCTACAATCTGGGGAGTGGCGGCGCAGAGGTTAGAGAGGTGGGCCTGTGATCCGAAGATCGCCGGTTCACGCCCAGGCCCCGACAACATCAAAAAATTGTGGGTGGGGTAGGTGACGCACCCACACTTGCCCCCACCCTCATTCGCCCCACTCTGGGCCCATGAGCAAGGCCCTTAACCCCCATCTGCTCCCTAAAAAAAAAACAGGTCTATCTTGAAAATGAGTTCTCGTGGCTCAATGCGACTACCTGTATAAATAAAGAGTAAATGAAAAAAAAAAACTCAGAGTGGTTCTTATTCTGCAAGATTTTAGCTGCGAATTTTAACTCTTGACGTGAAACTTCAAATCAAGTCATGAATACGTGGGTGACTTTGAAGGGAGGCACAGATGAAAACATGTCGCCTACCTTCATGACCGGCTGAGCGAAATACTTGGCGCTCCAGTCACACAGACCCGTCTGCAGGGCGGGGCTGATGTAGTTCCTGTGACCCGCCGACTCCTCGCCGTCTTCAGCTGCCTGAACACGAACGTTAAAAATAAAAGCATCTGTACGTCGAAGCATCAGCTGGGAGATGTTTGCTCCCTCACCTGCTCCGGGCCCTTGTCAAACATCTTGCGGGTTCGGGGGAACTGGTGCGAGTGCGGCGCCTGTCCCCCCAGCGTCGGGGTGTAGGGGGGTCGGGATGGCGTCTGCTCTCTGGTGGGAGGTTTGGGGACTTCGTTGGTCAGACTGGAGCTGCTGGTACTGGGCATGGGGGGCGAGCCACTGGAGGGACAGAGAACCAAGACGAGAATAAAACTCGACTGAAGAACAAACCTCTGATTCTTCTCTGAAGGCGGCGGGCGATATGCATTCCTTAAAGAAACACCAGGCTCTGAATTTATTTCTGCCTCCGAGAGGTGCAGGAAAAAGATAATAAATAAACAACTGCTTATTTAGATGATGAAAATTAAACATTTTACATTCACTGCATATTTTTGTTCTTAAAGCTAAAATTTTGAAAAGATTGCTTTAATTTTTTTTACAACTTGAACACAATTGTGCTTCAATCCTTCCTGTCCATGCATCAAACATAAACCTAAACAAACTAGCTTAAAGAAAAACAAAAAAACAGCAAAATGCTAACTAAGCCAAAGTCGCTAAGCTAAATGTAACATTTTGCTGAAGAAGCTGAAACAGAGTAATGAAAGCAAAGAGGAGCAGAACGCTAGCTAAAAGCTAAAACGAGCAAAACGCTAACCAAGAACAACAAAATGCCAGCTACAAATTAAATGTAGCAAAATGTCAGCTAAAAGGTAAATGTAGCAAAATGCTAGCTGAAATTGTAAAAGCAGCTAAGTTTGATCTCACCTTATCTTAATGCCTGATAAAAAATAAAAGTAGCAAAATACCAACAAAAAATATAAATGTAGTAAAATACCAGCTAAAATGTAAATGCAGCAAAATGCTTGTTAAAAATATAAATGTAACAATATGTCTGCAAAAACTGTAAATGTAGCTAAATGCCTGCTAAAAGATAAAAGGAGCCAAATACAAGCCAAAAATACAAATGTAGCAAAATACCCGCTAAAAAGGTAAATGTAGCAAAATATCAGCTAAAAAGTAAATGTAGCAAAATACCAGCTAAAAAGGCAAATGTAGCAAAATACCAGCTAAAAAGGTAAATGTAGTAAAATACTAGCTAAAAAGGCAAATGTAGCAAAATACCAGCTAAAAAGGTAAATGTAGTAAAATACCAGCTAAAAAGGTAAATGTAGTAAAATACTAGCTAAAAAGGCAAATGTAGCAAAATACCAGCTAAAAAGGTAAATGTAGTAAAATACCAGCTAAAAAAGTAAATGTAGTAAAATTGGCCGTTTTTACAAATCAAAGCCTGAGCGCTTCGTGCACATGAAGCGTCTGCTGTGGGACCGTGAGGATAAAGTGTTCAGTAGTGTTTGTGTGAGTGGCGTGTCCTCACCCCGCCTGGTGGATGTGCGTGCCCTTACTGGTGGGGCTGGCCGGCGCCGACTGCGTGAGCGACCCCGAGTCCAAGATTCTCTGAGGTCTGGCGTTCATCGTCGCCTGGGGAGAAAGTGATTGTTTCTTCATTAGCACACCCAGAATTAAAAAAACAAACCAATAAAACATCCATTTTCAACAGTTTCACAGTCTGTCAGGCTTCGCAGCGATACATAAAATCTGGTTACGGCGGTAACCGCATAAGAAGTGCAGCACTTTACAAACTTCGCCCAAATCTGGAGAACTTCACCTCATTAGGCGGTGCAGGTAATACAACCTCTTTATGTGAGTTGTCTAACAGCTGCGCACGAGGGAGGGGTAAACCTAATAAGGACAATAGAGGCAAAGCATCATTGATGAATAGCAGAATTGTTGTTTACTGAAGCCCGGCGCCGAGAAAACTCCGCCGCGTAAATCTTGTTAGCACAAGCAAACACACTTTCACTGGCTGAGATTGCCTTCGATGTGATTTATATGCTAATTACAGGAACGCAGCTCGTATCTTTTGCTTGTTTGGACGCCTAAAAGGCTGGAGGGAGACGGGGAAGTTTAATGCGAAGCTTACACGTACTGTATCCGATCTACAGCCCTTTAACGGAGGCCGTAGATCAGGAACGAGGGCGGAGCTGCGGGAAGAGTTCCCAAAGTTCTCGTGGAAAGGACACTCGGTAAAAAACGGTCGTGGGGTAAACGGAAAGCGATCAGATCTTTAGAATCCTCCTCAGACTTCCAAGATGGACATCTGCAAGTCAGATGTTTGTCATGAGCAACATTCCAACTTGTCACGCCTTGCTGAGGAACTTCACGTATACATTTATGTGCTGCTTGGATCAAACAACTCAACAGTAAGAGCTTTGATACTAAATCTACCTCAAGCTTTTTTAAATATTGGAATTACAGTTTGCCTGCTTTGTGATGGATGTGTTTGTCTTTTCTTTTTTACTTGATTTGTTTGATCTTATTTTATTTGGTATGGACTTCTACTTGTCTCAAAATAAAGATTGATCTTTACCAGGTTCTAAAATTGTTCAAATCTAACAAAGAGAACAAAGACACACAACGGAATCCACAGTCATTACTTTATAAACTAAAACAAAACGCGAGGCTAAAACTGGTTCCAGCTTCAGCAGCAGAACTCTCACTGGTTTTCTGTACTGGTCTCTCTCGTGGTTGCGGAGGAATTTTAGCCCACTCTTCTTTCCAACGCTGCTTCAGTTCCTTTAGGTTTCTGCTCAGCTCACTGAAGGTCCCACCACAGCCACTCAGTCATGTTGAGGATCTGGACTGCGACAGCACCTCGGTTCTGTTCTTTCTGACCCGGTCTGTTGTAGATCAGCTGCAGTGTTTGGGATCATGGTCCTGTTGGACCCAGTTTGGTCCAAACTTCCGCTGTTCAGATTAACTCATTTGACTACAGAACCCTTTGGTCTACAGAGGAGTTCCTGGTCCACTCAGTGACTGACAGGAGCCCGAACCATCGGCCCTCCACCACCGTGCTGACAGCTGTGAGGAGCCGTTTGCTGCAGTGCATTCTGGGTAAACATCTGTCCTCTGGTCTGGTTCTGGTCCAGAAGTCTTGTGATTCCTCCAGATGTAACTTTACAAACCTGCTTTGACCTTTAACCTGCTAACTGAGGCCTGTACAGTTTTAGATGGCGCTCATCTCGTTGAGCATTGCACAGTTTGACCTTCGGGGTGAATTTGATGGATGTTCACTCCTGACATGTGCAGCTGTTTCCACTTGTGAATAATCTCCTTCTCTGCAGAATGACGGACTCCAGGTGTTTTGTAAATGACCTTTGACCTTTCCAAGATTGATGGGCAGCAACATTTGCTTCTCTAAGATCATTGCTGATGTCTTTCGTCCTTGGCATTGCGTTCACACACCTGTATGCTGCTGATGGAGGTGGTCCCACTGATGATGATCAGTTAATCAGCAGCTCCTGGCTGATCCTGGACCTCTGAGACCTCGAGGAAGCAGCGAGGCTGGAACCAGTTTTTCACTCACAGCTTTGATTTTGTTTTGGTTAATAACAACTCGGTGGAATCTGTTGTGTATTTTAGTTCACTTGAAATTGAATAATCACTTTTATTCACTTTATTCATCACTTATCAGGACTATGACTGAGGGGGCTATCTGAGACGCTGTTCACGCACTTACTCCCCTCAAACTCTGGGCCTTCTGCCCAACCTTCTCTAACAAAAAGGGCAGCGCCTCCCACGAGGCTGCAGCCTCGGGCACCCCGTCTACTCATGTTTGTCTTTTTGTTTCTTTGGACGGGCTGTACTGAAATGTAATTTCGTTGTGCTTCTGTGCAATGACAGTAAATTCTGATTCTTCTGATTATAAGTCCTGATAAGTAAAATGCTTGAATTACGAGCAGGTGGATTTTAAAAAAAGCAAACAGATTAAAGTTTAATGTCACACAGCAGCAGAAAAACTTGACATCAGTCACAACTCAAACTGCAGCAAACACAAAAATGTTGAAAAAGTTTTTTTCTAGTGACTAAAACCTCATCCATTCACCTGCATGATGTTTATAGATTATTAATTAGAACAGGATGGTCTTCAACGTGCACGAAACGCACGAGCGTCAGACTAACGCAGGAGGCCACACACTTCATCTGCTGACGAGCCCTCCACAGAAAATCACTCGAAAACCACCGACGTGAGCCGTAAACGGAGATCGTGGCTCCGACCGGCCGCCCTGCTGCATGCTGGGAAACACGACATTAAAGTGCGCGTGCTGACGTGCGCAGAAGCTGTCGGACTCAGCCGAGCTGCAGACGAAGGCACATCGGGGTCAATGATGTTCGATGATCTGATGAAGACAAAGGTTTGAGGCTAAATGTAACAATTCAATCTGGTCAGGGCGTGACCTTCTCCTCACGGAGCAGGAGAAACGAAACGGGTGAAGAAAATCCCCTCAGATATTTAAGGAGTCTGGATGAAGACGTGGAGGTTAATCAAAGCTCATTAGGAGGTGAAAAGATAAAATTAATAAAAATAAAACGACTAAACTCCATAGATGTCCTCCAGGTGTCAAGCAGGATTAAACGTCCTCATCAAGTCAGCAGTAAGAACATTTTAATTAGCTGACCTCGTTCAGTAACATCTGGCATCTCAAATCTTAGTTACAGGAGCCGGCTAGTCTGATGGTAAGTCTTCTGAATTATCTGGGATTAAGTGGTTTCCTTCGGTTCTTTGCAGGAAAGAGATGAACTACGAGTTCAGACGTTTAAATGTTGTGCAGAAAACAAAAACGCAGCGTGCACACTTGGATTCCCGAATCACTGACGGTGCAAATTTTACAATTTGTGTTCAAATTTCTGCAAAAAAAAAAAAAAAAAAGAAAGAAAGAGAGGTTAAAAAAAGATTGTTGCAGTTTTTTGTGCACAACCTAGACTTTTTTTAAACTGCAGGTTTTGTCTCAAAAACAAAAAAATTAGAGACAGAGAAGCCTTTTCTCTCCTAAAACAATTTATTTATTTATTTTACTATGCAAAATAAAAGCCCATTTGTACAGTTCAAAGTTTAAACGCAGCATAACTAATTAGCAAAGCCTAAAAATGTATTTTACTTTCTTTATATGCTCTCATAGCCTCATAGTAACTTTACTACACTCGTGTTACTTAGGGCAGTGGTTCTCAAACTGGGGTCCACGGATGCACAGGGGTCCGCGAGCAGAAGCTATAGGGTCCACAAAAAAAAAAATCTATATATTTTTTACAAGCACATAGATGTTTAACAACCTGTTAATATGCACCAAAATGCAGGAAATCACATCTACTTTATTCAAAATTTTCTGAGGGAGGTACTCCAGAACAATACCCCATGTTTATAAAAATTGTATTAAGACTATTAAATAAGTATTTATGCTACACAAATACTTCCATTGCATTAAAGAGACAAATTGAACAAAATTATTTAATAAATACGAGGGTTCCTGGAACTTCTTGTCCCCTGTAAGGGGTCCCTGAACCCAAAAAGTTTGAGACACTCAAAATACAACTTAAATTCCATATTTATCATAAAAAATATTGCATTCCTCTCAGTATGCTGGTGAAGATCATCCAGGTTAGAGTAAAAAAAAAAAAAAAAGGGGGGGGGTTGGGGGTTTAAAAACAAAATAACTGGACTTCTAATCTGAAGCTGAAGACGTTTCTCTTCTCATCTGGAAGGTTTAATCAATTCTAAAATGCCTGGAGTGTGTGGAGCTCACAGCTTCGTAGAGCTGCATGAGACGCCTTGCAGGTTGCACTACAACTACTCGCCCTGCACAACAGAAGCTCATTAGGCTCCTTGTCTGCCTAACCTGCCTTCACATTTTGACTGCGCAGAGATCCCATGACGAGACCCTGAGGTCCGTTGTTGTGCCATTCATCCACGACCATCACCTCATGCTGCAGAAACATAAAGCACATGCTGCAAGAGTTAATATTTATGTTCAGTGTAGTTTTGGGGAGGGCAGGTGATTTCTTTAGAAGGGCGCTGCCCCTTCTGCCTTGCCAAACTGGCTCCACCTGCTCATTACTGAGCCGGTGCTGCGTTTGAGTTGTCGCCGCAGAACAAGGGAGATCGCAGTCGTCCCGCTGCGTTTTAAACACTGTCCACAAAATGCTGCTGTTTTCAAGAGTCCAGAGTTTTGTCTTAAGGCAGAAGAAGTGCAGCCTGAGGTCAGGACGGCTGGTGGACCGCGCAGTTTTTACAGCTTTTAAAGCTACAGCAGGATCGCTGCGTTGCTGCTGTGCTAAGCCGGGGGGAGTCATTGCACCTTGATTGCATTTGTACAAAAAATGAAGAAACGTTCGGGACGTTCGGGACAAACAGACCTTGTATGCGATGCTGTTGAGGACCTTCATGGCCAGGTCGGAAACTTCTGGGAACGGGTCCGCAGCCAGATGCAGCAGAACTCTCCAGATCTGAGTGTAAACGCTGTTAAAGGACACGCCTGGAGAAAAAAAAAAATAAAACACACGCCAAATGAGTCGAGTTCAGACGAGACGATAAAACACACCTACGGCAGGTAAAAACTCAAAAGTTCAGGAGATGTTCGGTGGTGACGTCAGAGGTTTGTTCAGCGGAAAGAAAACGACTTCCTAAATCGTTCCAGAATCAACAGGAGCGACACTCAGCACATTACACGCCCGTAAACAAACTATTACACAACAATCTACAGCAATGGCCTGGACAAGAAAAGACTTAGTTTTAACTTTGACCTTGATTTGTGATCTTGAAGATGGAGTCATTAAAATGTACGCCACACTTCGTCTAATGAGGAGGCATATGTGTATTAAATTTCATTGAATTATCTTGAGTGGATCAAAAGTTATGGTCAGGACATGTTTTAACTTTGACCTTGATTTGTGATCTTGGAGCTGGAGTTATTAAAAATGTACAACACACTTCGTCTAATGAGGAGGCATATGTGTATGAAGTTCGATCAAATCATCTTGAGTGGATCAGGAGTTATGGTCAGGATAAGCAAAGACCATGTTTTAACTTTGACCTTGATTTGTGACCTTGGAGCTGGGGTCATTAAAATATATATGTGACAATACATCTAATGAGGAAATCATATGTGTATAAAGTTTCATTAAATTATTTTTGAGTGGATCAGGAGTTATGGTCAGAACATGTTTTAACTTTGACCTTGATTTGTGACTTTGGAGCTGGAGTCATTACAGATATATGTCACACTACATCTAATGAGGAGGCATATGTGTATTAAGCTTCATTGAATTATCTTGAGTGAATCAAAAGTTATGGTCAGGACATGTTTGAACTTTGACCTTGATTTGTGACCTTTGAGCTGGAGCCATTACAAATATATGCCACGCTACGTTTAATGCGGAGGCATATGTGTATGAAGTTCGAT